TATAATATATTACATTTCTGACTGTATATCCCTGTAATTATTACACACTGTAGCTTTAATAAAACAACATTCATAAAATAGTTGAGGGAATATTAGCAGTTTATTTTCTGGGATAAACATCACTCATACAGTCAAAATGTCACCATTCATTACAGTCCTTTTGCTCGGTTAGTTATAAATTAACACTTTTTACCCCATAGAGAGCTTCTCTGGACTGCATTTTGGATATATATTTCATTTAAATCCTTTTCCTTAGTAGTTTTAATTTCTACGGTTGGTAACCAAACATCAACTGGTGACTGCATGGCAGCACTTAGTGCTCCAACCTTTTAACCACATTTTCCATCTTTTTCTACCACACTTCATCCTTCCACTACACTTTCTACTAATATTAATTTATATATCACGTTGTACACAGCCAGCTGTTGAGCAAAGACTTTGTTTGACTTATATCCAAACCATAACAAAAGATTATTATGCCTTAAAATCTTCCCCATCTGATAATATATTTCAATGTATCTGTGGTTTTGTAATCTTTATTAAATATGAGTGTATCTTATGAGTTTTCTTTTTTTAAATTAAATTACAGAATTAATTTACATTCAGATTATATCATAGTTTAGATTATTGCTTGGATGGAATACTTTTAAATTTCGATGTTTTCAAAGTGATTTGTTAGGATCTGTGATCCTGCATCGCCTCTTTAATCAGTTTGATCCATTAACTATTTAAAATAAATCAACTTTTAAATTTGAATTTAATATTAAGAAGGGAAAATATCTAAACTAAGGATAACATAACAGTCACAGGTGAAAGTATTTTTTTTCATCAGATGTTTCTTTAATAACGACAAAGTAACCAAAAGTAAATAACTGGAATAATTCAGCATGGACAGGAACAACACAGGAGAAGGAAAATATGATAATTACAGAGTCTGGGAGAAAAAAACAACACAAAAGTGTAAAATTCTGATAAAAACAAAACATGTTGACGAGTCAGTGGGTTAAAAAAATAAGTCTGGAGTAGTAATCGATATCAAAAGGAATGAGGCGACGTAAACCAATTAGCCGATGTTACAGTGAAGCTGAACATTGGAGTTAATGGTACATTTATTTTGCTTGTCAGCTTGTATTCGCCATATAAACAGGAATGTGTCACCATCACAGAATTCACACGGATATGAAAACTCTGCCACAGAGTGTACCATTGGACATATCTGAATATTTACATCTTGCGTGAGCAAGCAAAGGTACTCAAAACATCTCGTTCTATAAGTGTTTCTCTTCTTTGTTCATACAAAAATAGCTCTTTACTATAATGGATCCAAGTTTACGTTGAAATATCGAAAAACCAATCTAAATGCAAATGCATATAAACCCCAAGATGACAGGTGTGACATCTCGACCATGGAGTGGATTTTGGCACTTTTTCATACAAACGAGTTACAGATCTGCCTCGAAGGGACGTCTACTCGGCATCAGCAGCGGCTGTCAAGCGGGTCCAGAGAGAAGACGGTTCCCTCTAAGGTTAGTCCCATTTTGAACCCCTCCTGTGGGGAAAACAAGCAGGATGATAAATGCTGCTCAGTGCTGGCTGATGAGCTACGACAAACCTGTTTTATCTGGAATCTCAACGTGAGGAAAGTACAGAACAACAACCAACAAAGGTCAGCAGCGAAGGAAACTGTTTGAAACATGCAAAGTCATGCTTACTTGCAAGGTCATGCAAAGTCATGCTTTACAGTTGACTGGATGCAGTTAGTATCCAACATAGAGTGGAAATCAGACCAGTTTCTAATGAAGAAATAAAGGCAACAACAGCACACAGGCTAAAAGTTAAACTCATGAGGTAAATCTCTTTTAAGGCCTTATGCAGTCCTCTTTGGATTATGCAGTTCTTGAAGTAATTGATGTCATCCTCTCAGAACTAATGCTAACCGTAAAAGTAACGTGATTAGGGATGCACGATATTGGGATTTTGGCCGATATCCGATATGCCGATATTTTAAAACTCATGTAGCCGATAACCGATATCGATAC